TGCTCACCTTGAGCAAAAGAAGCTCAGGGACAGTGCCCAGGCCCTGAGTTCAAGCCCCAGGACTGGCAAAAAAACAAAAAAGCAAAACAAACAAAAAAAAAAACAAGCCAGGCATCAGTGGCTTACACCTGTAACCCAAGCTACTCAGGAGGCTGAGATCGAATGATCTCGCCTCAAAGCCAGCCTGGGCAGGAAAGTCTGTGAGACTCTTATCTCCAATAAACCACCAGAAAACCGGAAGTAGCACTATGGTTCAAGTGGTAGAGCGCTAGCCTTGAGCTGAAGAGCTCAGGGACAACACCCAGGCCAAGAGTTCAATCACCACAATCGACCAACCCCTCCCCCCCCCAAAAAAAACAAGGATTTTGTTTGGGCCTCCCATAAGTATCCTGGAACCCATGTCTGAAGGAGACAGAGGGACAACTTTCCCATTGAGCAGAAATAGAGCAATTCTAGCAAGACTGAGATGTCTGATGCTGCCCTTGCCTCTCCCTGCAGGTGAGGATCTTCATCCTTTACTTGTACCTATGTACAGGTATGTGTTTGGTGCTTCCCAGCCATATAGATAGTTTAGCTGTGTCCCTTACTCTTCCTGTGCTGCGGCATTCTCCACGGCAGGATGGGCAGGTTGCTCCACCCTTTTGAACCTGTACAGTGGTGTTCCACGTAGAAAACCAGTTCAGTGTCTTTTGGTGGCAGGTGAGGTGGTTCTGACTGTTCGTTAATAGGAGTCTTGAATATTGCTTTGAACTTGAATGGGCCTCATTGTTGCCCCTGTATATTGGTCCCAGAGTGGACTCGGAGGTTCGACTGCTGGGCCTTGGGTGATTGTAAGGACCAACTGGAGACATTTCCAAGCACATGCCAGAGGAAGGCACTGCAGAAAGATAGGAGCTGTCATTTTGTGTGTCCCAACTTTGTACCAGATGCCCCCTGGGCATCCTCTCTACGTCTCATGTGCCCTCTTTGACGTCTAAGTCCTCATTTTTTAGCCCAGGAAAAAACGAGGCCTGTGCATTTGCTGCCTCTCAGCTGTTGAGGGTGACGGGGCCCCCTAAGCCAGGTCTACACGGTGCTGGTGAATTGAGAGGCCATGTCCTACCTCCTCAGAGGGGACAAGAGGCCTAGGAAGGCCTGGCAGGATGGGGAGAGCGAGCCTGCCAGGCATTTCCTGGGGCAGCTCCAGGCAGGCCGCTTGGATCTAAGGGTTAGGAGGCAGCCCTCACTCAGCCTTCTCTTCCCACGAGCATCTCAGCACTCTGCTTTCCTAGAATGTGTATGTCCTGCTGGGTTCCATGGGCACCGGGAATTGGCTTTGAAAGCCTGTGGCACCACATCTGTGAACTCTTAGAGAACAGAAAGATTGACACAGACCTGCTGGGGCAGTGGGAGGGGAAGTATGACGTCTTCAAGACAAAGGAAAATCCCCAGCCCACGCCAGCCTGCCCCCCCACGGCCCTGCTTTGATGTGGTTTCCCCATCCTGGAAGCCTTATAAGGCACTGAGCCCTGCGAGTCTGGGCTTGGGGCTGGTGCTGGCCGCAGGAGCTGGCCTCCCTTCCTGGGGCCCAGTGTGGGGCAGCGCGCTGGAACTTGGGAGGCCTGTTAGGTCCTGTTTCCCAAGAGGCCACCAGATTAACTAGTCCCCTGGGCTAGAGTTGGAGGACCCAGGAAGGGCTTTCGTCAGAACTTGGAACTATCAATTCTGGAGGCCAGCAGGGAAGAGGCCTGGGACCTAGCCAGAATAGTGGGGACAGAAGAATCGAAGGATGGTCACTACATACCAAGCTCCACTCACAGGCTGCTCACAAGGAGGGGCCATCATGAAAGTGAAGGCTCAGGCACTTACTAGCTGTGTGATGTCAGTCAAGTCCTTTGACTGCTCTGTGCCTCAGGTTCTCATCTGCAACGTGAATCCTTTGAGCTGTCTCTCAGTGATGCGGTGGGGATTAGCTCAAGGAATAAGAGAGTGCTGGGCAGGCTGGGGCTATATCCTCAGGAGTCCATGAGGCAATCTGGAGGCTGGTGAGTCGCTCCTTCCCTCCCAGCTGTTTCCTAGCAGCTGTTTGCTCATAATGGTAGGAGAAGGGATAAACAGTCCGTCACCAATGTGTCCGACTCCACTGCAGTACCAGGTGATCAGGTACGAGGCTGAGTTTCCTCACAGCCACCCTGGGATGTCACATGTGTTGTCTGCCCCATGTGCAGATGGGCAGAGCTTGGGAAGCAGAGCTTCTTCACAGCTTTGCTCAAGATCTGCCTGATTCCAGTTCTGCTCCCTCTACACTGGGCCCCTGTGGGTCTGAGTGACTCCTCTCAACAGCCCCTGTCTTCCTATAGGGTAATGCAAAGGGCCTAGCCCCAGGGCCTGCATGTAGGCTCTCAAGGCTGTACTGGAGGGCAGGACCATGTCCCTACATTGTGGGGAGGTCCTGAGGGCTTTTGAGGTCCACTGGGAAGAGGAGAGTACTTGATCTCTGACCCCAGAGCTGTTGGATAGGACTTTTTTCCCCCTGTACTCTAAGTCATGTCTCCTGTCCCTGTCTCTTGTACTTCTCAGCTGGTGTGCCTACAATTGTACCTTGGGCTGGGTGTCTGAAGCTGACCAGGAACCCAGTTGATAGTCCACAGCCAGCCTCCAGCCTCTTGAGAGTTTACCTCACTTAAACCCAGGACCGTTGGCGCCCAGGCTCTGGGATGTATGAGGAATGCTATGCATGGCTATCAGTGTCCTATTCTGTCTGGGGTCCCTGAGGATAGGGAATGCTTATCGGTTTGTGATTTACAAATGATTTATTCTTGGAGAGGTGGAAGAGGAAAATTGTTGTGTCAGTCATGGTACATGAATGCATGAAGAGCCTGGCATGGTGCCTGGCATGCAGGTAATGCACAGGTAATGTGGTTCATTTCTGGGTCCATTTTACAGATGAGTAGACTGAGGTATGAGAACAAGGGTGGGCTTGGAGCCCCGGACATAACCCGGGGCTGGCTGATCTGGGGTTTAGTGACCCCACTGTGAGGACCATGGCACTGTTCAATGTAGACCCTGTAAAATATGGCAGAGTGGACATGCTGGCTTTCCATCATGGTGGAGCATCAGTGGGCCAGCAGGCCAATGAGTGCTTGCAGCTACAGAGATGGTACCCGTTAGTGGTAAGAGGCTGCACCCAGAACTGGCCAGAACTCTGCTTGAGCCCTTCCCAGACAGAGTACTGGACTTCATGATGGGTGTGAAGCAGGTGCCAATGTAGTGCCTTCCCCACTCTTCCATTAGAGTGGCATCTGGACTCTAAATTCCATCAAATAGGGTCTTAAAAGGCTGTCAGGGCTGACCTAGGGTGGACGTCTGTTTGGCCTGTTGCTGCCCCTGGAGGGAGGTGGCAGTGGTGTTTGCACACGTGTGTGTGTGTGTGTGTGTGTGTGTGTGTGTCTATTTCTACTTCCCAGCATGAAAATCAGGCTTTAATTGGCTGTTGGGGCGTCCCAGCCGTCTGAGGATGCCACCTGTATGTGTCTTTTTTCTGTCACTGTCTCCAAGCTCCCCTGTCAACTCTGCTCTGTTAACACAAACAGCCAGTTTACAAGCCTGGGAAATGTTCTGCCATTATAATAATTGGCAGAGGAGGAGAGTGTCGAGCATAGCCTGGTTTTGAAGTAAATGGGGCACCGAGAGCCTGGAAGGCCACATTTTAACCACCGTTGGGAAAGAGGGCAGTGCCCCGGAGTGATTTCAAAGAAGACTCTGAACGGAACAGACCCATCCTCATCCACAGAACTCAAGGCTGTTTATCTTTAAAACAAGAAACCAGAGAACAGGAAGCCGACCCCCAGCCGCGGGGGTGTCTCCAAGATACTCCTGGCCCTGCTTCAAGCATTTAAGGTGCAGGGATTTTGTTGTTTTTCTCACCAAGGAGCGGATGTTTCTCCTTTTTCTTTTTGTTCTTCTCACAAAGAGAATTTGGTGACAGCTGCTGCATTTGGGCTTTTTATTGCTTGTCCTTTCATGGATTTGAGGGGGAATATTAGAACATCCTTGTAGGCATTAAGAGAGAAGGTGGTATAATCCCCCAAATCTTATCTGAACCCCCAAGAGTAGTATTTTCCAAAGTGGATTGCTTGGATCATGAATCACATGTGCTTTTGAGAAGCAAAATCCCATGGTCTAAATAGAGTTGGAGAATGCAATATATACCAACATGTAGAGATTCAATGCTATTAACTACAATAAAGGCTCTGATAAGTCCTGAACTAAGAGGTCTTATTTAGCTTTGTCTAAAATAATTTTCTTTGATACCCAGACTCTTTGTGAGAGAAAAATCAATAAATATAGAAGCTCCTTTGACAGGCTTTGGTCTCACTTCTTGCATATTTGCAGTCATTCTTCTTAGACTTTTGGATAAATGCTGCATAGCACAGATATTGCGCTGTCTGTGGACCAATGAAACTTTCCTCACCCTGAGTGCAGGGACCGTGCTCACCATGCATGGGTGCAGTGTCAGATACCTAGCTCACTGGAAGGGACAAGCGAGGGGTGGCAAGAGTCAGGCCAGTGTCTGCAAGGCAGGTGCAGGATGAGATGTGGTATAAGTGGGGCTCCGCAGGACCCATAGGCAGTGAACTCATTTTGGGGAGGGAAGGAACCCATGGAGCCCCACGGGTCCTGGAGGCCTAACCTTGTTGAGGAAAGGGCCAGACCTTGACCACCTCTTGCGGCCCACAGGAAACATGCTGGGCTTGGTGCTGTGAAGTTGGCTAGCTGATGGATAAGGGACACTTTCTGATCTTGCCTAGGGGTTCCCAGGGAAGGAGATGATGCCCTCTGCAAGATGTGGGGTTCTGGCAGCTTTTCTGGTGCTCTACAGAGCGCGGCTATGGCTGACTAGTCACATGTCCTAATGTACTGGGCCCACCCCAGCCCCCTGATCCAATCAGGATCTCATCTCCACTCTGTGCCCAGAAAGATGGACACACCTCCCTCATGTCCCTTCTTGTCTTCCCCAGGAGCTCGCGGGCGACGTTTTCCGAGAAGCACTCAGTGAGGAGGAAGAGGAGGACTTCCGGCTAGAAGGTACTTGGTATTCATGCTTTCCCTGCTTCCCCAGCAGCAAGGTGGGGAAAGAGTCTTGTTAACGGTGTGACCTGTGGGCCCCAGAAGACTGCAGGCCATACTATGACTCACAATGGGGTGGGCTGGTGAGGGGGCAGAGGGAGGAGGAGGAGGAGGAGGAGGAGGAAGGCAGGAGGTCCTGTCCCAGGACAAAGCCAGCAGAGCCTGGTGCCCATTAGCTGGGTGACATTACAGGCTCTCACAGCCCAGCTTCCCCCTTTGGGAACATCATACTGATATCAGCTCAAGTGTGGGCCACCCACGGGGCATTGGTGGGCATGTAGGCTGAGTGCTACATATGACACACTGATTCACAAACACACATGCAAACTCAGTCAGCCTTGGGGCTGGGAAGGTGGCTCAGTGGTAGAGCACTTGCCTTGCATGCTTGAGGCCCTGGGTTCGATTCCTCAGCACCACATAAGAAAAAAGCCAGAAGTGGTGCTCTGGCTCAAGTGGTATAGTACTCGCCTTGAGCTGAAGAGCTGAGGGATAGCGCCCAGGCCCAGAGTTCAGGCCCCACGACCGGACCCCCCCCCAAAAAAAAAACCACAAAAAACTCAGTCAGCCTGCCCCGTCTTGTGTCCATTGCTCTGGCCCTGTTTCTGGGAGACGTGGGGGGCTGGTTCCCAGTTCACTGGCTTGACCTGGGGCAGGTCAGCCTTCCCAGCCTTCCACTCATTGTTGGCGGGGAGTGAGAGCCTCTCCCTGCATGGGGCGCCAGGCGGCTCAGGTGCTGCTCACCTCAGGGAGCAGAAGGAGTGCATTCCATCCCTTTATTCAGGATCTGAGAAGAGACTTGCCAAGCTGGAGAACATGAAGAGGAAAGACCTCAAGCTGGAGAGCTGAGGGCTGGGGTAGAGAGGTCCTCAGGGAACCCTGGGTTTTAGGCTTTGCGGGGAGAGTAAAATAGTAGAGGTAGCCTAGGCCACCTGGGCATGGAGGCCCCATCCAGCCTGGTTGCTGTTACAAATGGAGGCTCTTGGGCACTTGCCCTTGTATTTGAGCAAGTTCTCCTGTTGACTCATATGCACATCGCTCTTGGAGATGAACAGTTGGAAGATTTTTGCTCAGCTTCCCAGGAGTGGAGGCAGGGGATGCATGTGTGTATGTTAAGCTTTGCTTGCGTCTGAGCAGGCCCCAGGTAAGGGCAGGAATGTGGGGATGGAAAGCTTTGTTTAGGCTGTAGGGTTCCTTTACCCTTACCTCCTGGAGAGGTGCTGGGATTTGGTGCTTCATTCACCGTGTTCATCCACCCATCCTGAGCACTGCTTGCATCCTTCCATTCATCCTCTGGTCATGTCTACCTCCTGTCCCGCATCTATTCACCCATCAACCTCATCGGGCCTCACAGGTCCCTATCTTTCACCTCTCACCCTTTACCCTTAGGATCAGCATCATTCACTTGATCACCCCAGTCGCCCCCATTTGTCATCCATCCATTGCTCTTTCTTTCATCCATCATTTACTGAGTCCCAGTTAGAGCTGAAATCTGGGACTCTGTGTGTGTGTGTGTGTATGTGTATGTGTATACATGCCAGTACTAAGGCTTGAACTCAGGGTCTGGGTACTGTCCATTAGCTTTTTTTTTTTTGGATATATTTTTTTTTATTGTAAAGATACTATACAGAGGGTTACAGTTACATGAGTGAGGTAATGAGTACACTTCCTCTTGAACATTGTTACCCCCTCCATTGTTTTCCCCCTACCATCCCCTCCCTTCCTACCTTCCCCGAGGTTCTTTTTTTTTTTATTGTGATTAAGTGATTCCATAATTTCCCGAAGTATTGTGGAATAATGATGCTCATTTAAAGTCACAAGTTCATTCTAACTTTCCTGGGGCAAATTGTCTATCACAGTCTATAACATATAATGGTGTTCACATGTTATACACCATACATGTGATATTTAGTAGTGGTTCGACCAGATGAGTGGGAGTTCTTTGTTTCTCAAGTCCTATTAGTTTTGTCGTATCACCTAACATTTTGGAGACCATGTACCGTTTCCATTAGCTTTTTTATTCAAGGCTGGCACTCTACCACTTGAAGCACAGCTCCCTTTAGTGGTTAACTAGAAATAATAGATTCCTGGACTTTCCTGCCCAGGCTGGCTTGTGAACTGTAATCCTCAGATCTTAGTCTACTGAGTAGTGACAATTACATGTGTGAGCGACTGGTGCCCATCTCCTAGGGACTTTCTGACCCTTAGGCTAAGTCTGAAATCATGTGACTGGCTTTTAAGTGAGAAGTCCTCACCTGAGCATAGGTGTGAGAGGAGCCATGCTCCTGGCTCCTTCCTTGGAGGCAGTGACTTGCTGTGACACCTGGACGGGTCCTTCCCCCTCTGTCACAGGAGAGTTGTGACTTGGAGCTGGGCTTGTAGGTGCTTAGAGATGTGGGCACTGTGTGGGAGGACCTCGGTCATCCTCCGCCTGGTAATGGGGTACCAGAGACCGGCTCCGGTCAGGGACAGGTTGGGAGGTTAGTGGTACTTAATCAGATCCCGAAGCCCAAAGCTTTGTGTCAGGCTGAGCACCTTACCGACAGTGCTCAGGGATTATGAAGCCTCTACTGACCAGGGAAGGGCTTGGAAGCCAGCAGCCTGCCTCAGTTTCCCAGTTAGAGTTTGGGCTAGATTGCTGGTGGTCGTTTTTCAATCTCTTAGGTCAGCTAGAGCTTACACAGAAGAACAAGATGTAGAATAGTTAGAACTGGTTTCGGAGCGAGGCAGGTGGTATGATGTTCACAGAGGAAAGGCTCGGGCCGTCCTTGGTGTCCCGTGGGCCCCCACACATGCCTGTCCTGTGGACAGAGGGCTCTCACAAGAGTTCCTTTTGGTCAGGGGAGGGAAATAAAACTGGAAAGACTAGGTGGAAAAGGCTGCAGTATTATGTGTCATGAATGTTTGAACTTTAGCAGTAAACGAAAGAGAAGTTGCTTTGATTTGGGGCAGGTGGGCACCTGGACCTGTCCATGCACCATGGACCCCGGAGGGACCTTTGGTACTGTGGCCTGAGCCTGCCCACTCCAGGGTAGGGATGTAGCTGTAGATGCCATTTTGGTGAGGGCAGGTGCCACAAATCCTGACCACACAACTGTCCACCTGCCTGGCCCTGGGGCTACAGCATGCTTCTGTGCTTCTGGCCCAGGAAGACAAGCAGGGTCCTGAATGTTTTCTTTGTCTTCCTGTTGGCCAAGTTCATTGCCTCTTGGCAGGCTGGAGGGCTGTTTAAGGGAGAGAAAAGGCCATCTGAGGCGTGAAGATAAAAAGAAGTCTTTTAGCCATCCCAGGAGAGGATGGCTTTAGCTCCTGTGTTGTTCCGTGAAGCCGGCCCCTAATCCCGTGCCTTAGCTGCCTTAACTGGCCAGCTGGGAGCGGCGAAGGGATTAAGACGGCTTGGTGCAGGGCTGGCCCAGCTCCTTTTGAACTTAGGAAAGAACAAAGTAAACATCAAAAGTTCCAAGCTGGAGCCACAGGGTGGGCGTAGCTGGCTGGGGAGGTGAGGGAGGCCTTGGTGGGATAAGGGAGAGGGACCCTCCCTCTGCGGACCTATCAGGGGTCAGGGCCAGTGTGTGTGTGGGGGGGGCTGCTTCTCATCTCCAGAACCCACCTGCTTTTACCTCTGCAGCAGAGCAGCAGAGTATGGAGCCAGATGGCAGCCATCATCATGGCTTGTGCCCAGAGGTGAAATTCAGTGCCAGGCTCGCTTGCCAGACCCTTGTCACCCTGTGTGGCCTTAAGAATTGCTGTGCCTGAGAATGTCCTGCTCTCAAGCTCTTCCAGACTCAATGTGGAAGAGAAAGGGGCTGAACTGTGTCCCTCTTGCTGTTTACATGCAACTGCCCTGCCCACCTGGGACTCACCTGCCCACCTGGGATTCACCTCCCTGCCTGGGACTCCCTGCCTGCCTGGGACTCCCTGCCTGCCTGAGGCTGCCCTGCTTCACCATCCAGGCTCACCTCACATTTTCCCCACCCCTGTGCCCACCTGTTTGCATCATGCATAGAATGAAACTCCGCAGAACCCGCTCAGCCTGCTGCTTCTGCTCTTCAGGCACTTGGAAGGCCACTGAAGTCCTGTGGCCTCCAGTTAGCCCTGCTGCCCATGTCCTCTGGCTCCATCTGCACATGGCCCCAGACACCAGGAGAGCATCTCTGCTCCCCGGGCACCAGCGTGGAAGTCCAGAACTGCCAACTGTGCCAAGCCGAGCAGAAGTGCTGGGACTGAGAAATTTTCCATGGGTCCTGAATCTTTCCTGAATCATTTGCCCAAGTGGAGGCACTTCTCACTTTATTCTAACTCCCATCAACCCCTCCTAGCCTGGCTTTATCACTCTCTGATTTGTGTCTTCAAGCAAGTCACTTGCTTCTTGGTGCTTTAGTAAGGTAGCTTGCGTGAACCTCGAGAACAGAGTTCGAGAGTGGGCATGCATCCGGCCTTTTCTTGGGTCCAGTTGGGGTTGATGTACTTCTGTCACCACCCAGTCCACATCAAAGGAGGCAACTACCAAAAGTTGCTTTGATCCTGTTAGGGCACCTCTCAGAGTCCTGGGACACAGCACACAGCCTGCCATGCAGGGAGTACTCAATAAACACTCACCTTGAGTGTGTGTCAACACTCGAAAATCACAGAATTCAGGTGCCCCCCGCCTTCAAGCTACTGGGCAGGTCCTGAGTACACACTGTCTGGGCCCAGGCTGTCTTCCTGACCTCCCAAGGGGTGTATGTGTGTGTGTATGTGTGTGTGTGCATGTGCGTACACACATGTGCCTGCATGCATGTGCTGTACTGGAGCTTGAAGTCAGTGCCTAGGCACTGTCTCTTAGGTTTTTTGCTCAAAGCTGGTGCTCTACCACTTGAGGCACAACTCTACCTGCAGCTTTTTGGTGGTTAACTAGAGATAAAGCTAGCTCCAGCTAGCTTTAAACCGCAGTCCTCAGATCTCAGCCTTCTGAGTAGCTA